CCCCCTGCCCCCCCCCCTTCTTCTTCTTCTTCTTCTTCTTCTTCTTCTTGACCTACTTTTCTGTCTACGTCCATGTTCAACATCACCAAGTTGGTCCAAGTCTACATGACTGGTTCCTGTCAGCACCTCCTCCCTCCTCCCTTCAGTCAGACAGTCACAGATGAACACCCCCCCCCCCGCTCCCCCCCCCCCCCATTAGTCCGAGGCCGTTTCACAGCTTATCTAACACCTGAACCGTTCTCTCCTCCACCCTCACGTCCACTGATCTGCACCAACTACAACTCTACTTCAGACAACCACGGCCGTGCAGCTGCAGCCATGACACCAGGACCAGGACCAGGACCAGGACCAGGACCAGGACCAGGACCAGGACCAGGACTGACTCGTCCGTATGATTCCACAGTCACACGTGTTACTGTAGGAGGGTCTGAAATCAACCAATCAACTGGGAGCTGAGAAAGACATGAAGCTTCAACCAGGACTGGGTGTGTGTGTGTGTGTGTGTGTGTGTGTGTGTGTGTGTGTACACACCTGCAGACCCCTGGTGGTCAGGGAGCGAGGACTGGCCACATAAGTGTGTAAACGTCCGTCCACTCCTCTCAGCAGCGGCTCAGAGTCTCTGACGTACTGGAGGTCTCTGGACGTCCTCAGGTCCACCACCTCCATGGACTGACTCACATTCTGAACCTGACACACACACACACACACACACACACACAATAGTTCAATGAAAATATCATGTTTGTAGGAATGGCAGTGATTTATATAAAGTTCACTGCAGTACTTTTATGTACAAAAGGGGGCGCTGCAGGACACGTTCAGATCCACTGAGGGAGGATAAGGAATGCATTCCATATTACTGACAAAAATATCTGCTGACCTGTTCAGTCAGCACACGCAGCTGCCGACTCCGAGGGTCTCGTTTGCAGAGGTTTCTGGCGGGGGCGACCACCGTACAGACACACCTGCCGTCAGGGTCCGAGGCGGTGCTGTAGACCTGCCAGCCGTCGTCTGAACCCGGGTACAAACCCTGCAGAGAAACGGACGGAGTTAATGAAGGACAGCGAGGACAGAGACACAGCGAGGAGCTCCGTCTGGGCCATAAAAAGGTTTCTGTTGAAGTGTTCAGAAACATCAGAACGTTGACCTGGACCCATCAAGAACCAAACGTCCTGGTTCAGGGGGAGAAGTTGCGTCGATATGTAAGGTTTGTTAATAACAGCATTGAAGCCATAGCTGTGAATATGTTGATGTTGTCGACAAAGAGAGGAACTGCAGAAAGTTCTGGAACATTTTTGGTCGTCTGATACATCTGAGGTTGTTCTTTTTAAACCACAAAAAAACTATGGGTTAAAAATGGAACGTTAACTGACATTTGGACTAAAATGTGAAGTAGAATAAATATTCTGTTTCTGTCGTCGGCAGGAAAGTTGTTGAAAGTCGTTCATCCTGCAGATGTGGTGTGAAAACGTTGTCTTCACGTCGTAACATTAGGTTTCAGCAGTGAAACGCTGCCAAACAAAGGCCGTGTTCTAAAGGAAATGAATGTTAGGAACGTTTGTTCTCAGTGTGTTCCACTGCAGCAGGAACCTCGGTTCAGACCACACACACACACACACACACACACGTCTCAGCAGCAGCTGAATCAGATTTGACATTTTCCACATGTTTTTGTCCAGAAGAGCCTGGAGCAAACAGATCACAGCAGCAGCAGCAGCAGCAGCAGCAGCAGCAGCAGCAGCAGCAACTAGTCCAGTGTAAATATTTATGACTAGGTGACAAAGACAGCAGTGAGGATCAGAGTTGAACCAGCGGTCGGTGGTAGGACAGCAGATATGGTGGTTCAGAACCTTCACTCAGAGACACAGACAGATGAACCCTATAATATCTAAGTCTGTGTTCAGTCTATGTTCAGTCTGTGTTCAGTCTATGTTCAGTCTAGGTTCAGTCTATGTTCAGTCTATGTTCAGTCTGTGTTCAGTCTATGTTCAGTCT